GCCCATCCTGTTGCCGAATGTCCAGGCCCTGCTTTAAGTCAGCTGGACATACTGTTCCCAGCATTGTCAAAATACTCCTTAAAAGGCCAAAGACTCAAAAGCTTCTGCCTGTCACTGGCACAAGATCTACTCCACTGTGAGTTCCCATGTAGGCTTTTATCTCACTTTGCACATGGTTTCCCTGAGGCTTGGTTTATTCCACGCCACACTGTGGAAAAAGGCTACATGTCCATTAGTGCCATAAGTAACAGGGAGTTACTGTCACTACAGCTGGGCTGCAGCTCCTCCATGTAGGTGGGGGTTTGAGAGCTTAGTAAAGGGACACCAGATATTTTCTTGAATAGCTTATCCTTAAAGCCTGCTCTGAGGGGAACGTGAGCAATCCCAGATTCAGTGAATTTGTCCAAATGAAGAATTACCAAATACTTATGTTCTTCTAGTAAACTTCTCAAGACAAGAGCTCTAAGGTATAAGCCCTTTTATTCTGTTGTCATATCTTTGGAAGAGGAATCCCCTTTTCTCTAGATAACATCTCACACCATGGTGGCATTGCAACCTTGTTATAGTAATATCCATTTTCCATTTTCTCTTGATTCAGTCTTGAGGTGGTCAGAAAAAACAGAAATGGAAATGTTGAACTATGCATGACCTGTGAATTCTTTGTTACCACAGATCTCTTGGGTTTGTGCTTTTCAATGTCACATTAAAATCTGATTGGTTGTATATGCCTAAATGGCAAACTTTTAAGTGGGAATGGACTTGTTTTTAATATTGTGTACTCACAGGAAGAGTTTAGGGGAAGAACCTTTTCTCTAATTGGCATATAATGTGATTCTGTGATGAGGAACATGGATATATTTGGGTGACATAAATCAAAACACTCAGCATCTGTACCACAAGAGGGACGATATGACTTATACAATGGAAAATCATGACTCTCAAATCTTCTGGAAATACAAAACCACAACTTTAATCAAAATCTGTTGGCTTTATGCTGTTAATACTTAAATATTACAATACATGCAAGAAAGATTACATATTGAGACTCAGCAAAATAAGTTAATTTCTCTGCAATGTCAGCTCATGTTCCTTTCTTAAAGCATCTTGTGTGGAAAAAGCACAGCTGACTTCTGACATGGTTTTGCTTTTGTAATTGGATTTACATAATGTAGTAAGATGCCCTTTTAAATTTCCTTCTTTTCAAATCTGTTTATTGTTTTTCTCTTATCACATTGACAATACTACCACAAGGCCTATTTGATTTATAATTGCATTTTGGTAGATGAATTTGTTAGCATAAATATCACATTTCTTTGCCCACACTGCTAGTAAGAAAATATTTTAAATAATTTTAAAAATCCATTTGACCTTTCACTTTTGATGACCTTTCACTTTTGCAGAGTTCTGAGCAACTCCACCAAGTGTATGAGTAAGACAGCTTCCTTCCTTTGGAATAATTTTATGGTTTATGTAATAAGCAATGCAGAGAAAGTAAATGTTCTTTGTTTACAAACAAAGAACTCCCATTCAAGTGTAAAACAACTGTTATTATTAATTATTTACATTGTGATAGCTCTGCAGAGACACCATCATGGAGCATGGCTCTATTATGTTAGCTGTTATACAAACATAGATGAAAAAGACAATTGTGACTATTTCTTATGCCCAGTATACTAAGCTGCCTAAGGTAACAATGATTTGTTTATAAAAAGCAGGAAAAGGCCTGGATTAATCCAAACAAAAAAGCCTAATTGTACTACTAAAATCATTTGTCGTAAGGAAAAAGGAAACAAAACTAGAAAAGAATGTGCTGCATTAACCTCACATCTGTTTACTGTTAATAGAGGGATCAGCTATTCAGCTCTTCAGAAGGACCATTAAAAAAACAAGACTGAAGAGGAATCAAGATGATGGTGAAAGGAAAGTGAGACATTTTTTAATGGCTGCTTCCTACATTACCTTCTGCGTGCTGAAATACACCGGTGCACTAGGGGAACATCAAAGTCAGAGCAGATCAGGCTCTAGAGGAAGACTAGATGACTCATTACTTTTGCCAGCTTTAGCTAAAACTCAAATGAGCACTGAGTTCCTCTTCCTAGAATCACAGAATATCCTGAGTTGGAAGGGACCCACAAGGATTGTCAAAGTCCAAATTCTGGCCCTGCACAGGACACCCCAGGAATCCCACCACGTGCCTGAAAGCATTGTCCAAACACTTCTTGAACTCTGTCAGACTTGGTGCTGTGATCACTTCCCTGGGGAGCCTGTTTCAGTGCCCAACCACCCTCTGGGTGAGGAACCTTTTCCTAATATCTAACCTAAACCTCCCCTGACAGAACTTCAGGCCATTCCCTTGGGTCCTGTCACTGGGCACCAGAGAGATCAGTGACTGCTCTGTTGTTGCTCTTTCTTCTGGATCTTTTTTCTTTTCAGTCTATTTCTTCTCTATCTTTCTCTTTTTAGCTTTTGTTTAAGTAAGGGTTCTCATTAGTTGTCTGGGATCACAGGCCTTGTTGCTGTGACATTAAATAGGTTGAGATCACTGCATTCAAAATCCTGAGTCCTATTTAACTTTTTAGAACTGGACGTGAACACATTTGACTCAGTCATCAAATTTAAAATAACAGTGATGCAGAGAGTGTACAATCTAGAAGCATTACATCAGTCTAAACTTATAAAAATATTTCTAATTTTGGACCCAGAACTACCTGAAAGTGTTTCTGTTATTAATAAAAGCAGCATCAGTAGATGTTAGATCCCTCAGAAGTTACAGGTTTAAGAGATTGATGCAGGAAATGTGCAGCATATCAGGATGCTGAAGTCTGTAAAACTACAGGCAAGCATTCTAATTACTGGATTACATTTCCTTCTCCTATCACATTGCTGTTTCCAGCAGATTTGATTCATTATTGTTGCTTCATTTTTCAGTATTATGCCAGTTTCCGGGGCAGCCAACACAATACACTGGGTTCTGCTGAATTCTCTAGAAGCAACAGCCTCCCACAAAACCCCACTCTCTTCAGAGTGCCTATTTAAGCTGGGATTAGTATGTCAGGAAGCAGTCAGGCATGTCTTTTTCTGTATGCTTGCTAAACAATACTTAACCTACTGTGCCAGAATCTAGAGAAGGTTGTTTTCTCCTTTAGACTTCTTCCGAGAAAAAAATTGTTCCCTTTCACTCTAAGAGGGTTGTTTCCATTAGGCTTTTGGAGAAGCAATCTCTGCTAGAAGGCATGATCATGATCATAAAGGTATCTCAGCACCGTAATTCATGTATGAGAATTAGAGGGAGCAGCCCCTGTCATTTAATCTGATTCCCAGGGAGCTGAGAAAGAAGCAGGCAGAAGCAGTGTCTGTTCAATTTGTCAAGGGGAAATCTGACAAAAAAAGTACAGTTCTAGTCTGGTTTTGGTGAAGAGCTGAGCTTTTGATAGAACTACTTTAATTAAAAATATTTCTGGTCAATGGTGCTCGTTCTCTGCAGAAAATTGCAGCTGAAGCAGTGATCATAATCCTAGCTATTACAATTTCATATTATTATTGAGTCTTTCATATATTTACTTTGATTGTCTTATACTCTTCTTCTTTTTAGGCTGTATTATCTCCTTGGTGTGTTGTGGCCATGTGACTGCTGTGATGCACCATTTCCCTGTACAAATAAAGTGAAAGAGGAGGGCATGTTGATCTACTTATTCATGACAAGGAACCCAACCTTCAATGAAGAATGTAATTTTGCAACACCTGGACTACAGTTCCCATAAGGCAGAGCAGCTGTGTTTAGAAACCAAAATATTTTTCTTTCTCCCTGCCATTTCAGACTATTCTATCTAAAAAAAGTCTCCTCAACTGCCCATTTTCCAAGCAGCTCCAACCAAGTATCCAAAATGAGATAATAGAGGAAATAACAGATGAGAGACCTAGTTAAGGAAAAAAAAAGAAACCTAGACTTTTCTTCAGATTTCATCATCTTCTAATGAGTTTATTTACTTTTATGTGAGGTACTTAGGCTGATTCTTCTGAAAAATTGGAAGATAATAATGATCAATCTACATTTACTTTGCACATAACCGTAGAGGTTATGATGCATGGCATAATTGCAGTGTACTGAACATTTCCCTTTTATAGCTGGCTGCAGAGACTGTAATAGCCTGTTACTCATTTCTAGGTGAAGGAGTTCCTCCTTCAGTTTATGGATTCATGCTTCTGCTGCTGAAATTTTTGAACTTGATTCTGACTGGCAGTTGTAGACAGCTACTTTTAATTATCATACGAACACTGGTTTACCATTCTCCTTTCAAAACAACCCCAGTACACCTGAAAACAACACTGTATCAAACAAGCCAAAGATGCTCTTAGAAAAGAAGTTTTCCAAAATGCTCTTCTTTACAGGTAATAATTTATCACATGCTTTAAGCATTCTTGTTTCTTTGTTTCATTTCTCTTTTTCTCAAAGACGATAAAAAAATAGAGAAGACACAAGGTTAGATCTGGCATAACTCCAACACCAGTTCATATCTTATTCACCAATAAATTATTTATCTATTTTCCTGAGAAAGACAATCAACATGCAAACAAAATCAGGATGTATTATGTGTATTTACAAGCAAGTGAAACATAACAAAGATAAAAGAAAGAATTGAAAATTTAAATTATTCTTGAGGAAAAGACACCAGGGATAAAGTGAAATTTCATGAATGTATTCAAGTACATTGGCCTAAATCCATGCCAGCTATTAATCCATAGCTCACAGATGAATTTGCTTCACTGTTATTTAAAAACAGAACAAAACCTGAGCAGTTACCATGAGCTCACAAACTCAGCATACAGCACAATGCAGTGAATTAGACCAGAGAAAACACATTTAGTTAGAGAGCTGCCACCAAAAAGAAAGGATGAGCTGGTAGCTGTGGCTTTAGTGCATGACTGATGGGGCTGGGATCACTTCTTGTAAAAATCATCCTCTGTGGGTCTGTTCCCTGAGTAAAATAAACCTATTTTACCTTTCTGCATCATGAAAACCTTCAATGAAGACATGCTGTGCTGTCATTTGAGACCAATCTGCCCCTTGGAGACCAAAAGCCGTGCACCAGCCATTTTCCTGGGGGTTGTCCTGAAATGCTCCAGCCATTTCAGCCAAAATGTGGCTAAGTTTTGAAGGGAAGAATGTAGTGGTGCTGTTGTCTGTGCTGACCAACAGAGAGGATGAGCAGACCTGGCAGGAGCTGTCCCACAGGAGGGGCGGCACTGCCTGGCCCTGAGGGGAGACCCGTCCTGGCGGTTGCCCTGGATAATGGCTGTTCCACTACACCTGTGCCTGGCATCCCCCTTCCCTCAGGATTTGCTGTGGTGCCCTGATGGTGCTGGGTGTAAAGGGAGGTGACCAGCAGTGGGACCGGCTGAAATGGGTCCTGCTGCCATGTCAGGAGCTCTTTGGTGGCTGTCACCCAGGAGGAGGTAAGGCTCCACATTCACAGCTATAACTGATTTAGAGAACCTATGAAAGGGTTTCCTGGGGTTTTGGGGGGAAACTTGAGACTGTCTCTTCTTAGCATGGCAGGAGCTCTCTGGGTGGGTGCTGGGTCCCTGTCACCACTCGCCTGACCCAGAGGTGATTCCATCGGTTGTGAAGGGACAGAATGATGTTAGGGCTCTGCTGGAAGGTCCAAAGTGGACAGCCCCCGGAGTCTGAAGGTCCTGAGGGGACTGTCCCTGCTTGACAGAGTAGCTATTGGGAATGTTCCACGCAGGGAGGGCAGCACTCAGCGCTGAGGGGGCTGCCAGCTGGCGGAGGGCATTATTCGCAGTAGGTTTCTCTGTGGATTCATAACAAATATTTGGGAGTGGAAGGAAAAAGCAAACTTTGTTGTGCTGATTCACAGGGGATGTGTGCCAGGGAGCCATAAGAACTGGAGGCTCCCCGGGCTCTGGGGTAGCAGGCAGGGGGGCCTGGGGACACAGGCCGGCCTGGGAAGGCCCTGGAGTCGATCCGGGTATTCAGGTGTAAAAGCGCACTCAGGGCCCTGGCAGTGGGCTCTGTGCTGCTGCAGGTACTGGGTGAGAAATGAAATCAAATAGCACAGAATTCTGCAAAAGGAAGCATCTGATAAAAATAAGCATTTTTGCTGAGTATGGAATGCATTGTGACAGGAAGCCACAGAGTCCAAGACCTTAAAAAGATTGAAGAGGGTTTGGTCAGTTATGTTACAGCAAGATTGCCCAGATTTGGCATTATTTATGTCAGACTTCAGAGAGATTTTAAAGCATGTGCTCCAGAGAAGTACTGAGTCTCTCAAGAGACTGAGATTTAAAGCAGAAAAAAAAGCATCAGATTATGTCACTGCCCTCTTAAACTACAATTAGAGAGGATACTGATCTGAACAGATTGCCAAGTTGATAACACATGACAATTCTTATACTCTGAGTGCAGCCCTGAAAAACAAAAGTGTGTGTGAAGGGTGCATGATTTTGGATTTTGCAAAGGCTACCTGCTGACAAATGAAAGCATATCTGACCTGAGCATCTTTCCATCAGCGAGGTTCCATCCTTCAGGAAACAGCAATAACTGACAAAAATGTTATTGCTTCCACAAATTAATTCAGGTTTCCTGCTCTTTTATCTGGTACATAGTATTTTGTTCTCTCTCTCTCCCCTGCCCTCCCTTTTTATTCTTGGATGCATAGGAGACAGGAATCCTCCATCACTTAGGTAATCACTTGTATTTACAAAACCAATCTGGTGTTACAACATTTCTGATGACACATGAAAAATTACCTCTGGATGCGCCAGTGTATCAGCACAGCAAACAATAAGCAGGACATGGAATCCTGTGGCAACTCACATACAAGTTTAGAAAAGTTAGAGTATGTGAATATGGGAGGAAAGCTGCCATTTGTACCAGCTGTCCTGCTGCCATTCCCAGTTCAGGCAGCAAAATGTGGTTCTTCAAAGTATACAGACTACAATTTGACCTTAAGGATTTCCTGGGTGAGCCTTAAAGAGAAAGTAGCATTAGTTGTATCAAGCCTTCCCCATAAAGCACACGTCTGTGTAAAAGGTAATAAATTAGAAATATGTTTCTTTATATACTTTTAAGCACTCTGGGAGCTACTGGGATCCTTTGGCTGCCACTGAAGTGCAGTCATTCCTTGGCTGCAAAACAGCAGCTGCTGTAAGATCCATTATTGAAAAGTTTGAACATTGTGTGTGTAGAATACTATTTCTTGCTGAAACCACATGGCAAATATGAACAGTAATGCAAAGAATTGAGTGATTTTCAAATACTGTATTGTCACAATCTCTGCCTCAGATCTCTCATGGATTCTGTTTTTCCTTCCAGTGTCACAGTCTTTTTCTCAATATTTTCAAACATACACTGGAGTTACCATAAAAATAGTTAAGCAAAATTAGAGTGACTATTGGCAACAATCTGAATCTAAGCTTCCTTCAACAGGAGGTGTGCATCTGCTTTGCTGCACCCTGTCTTTCAGCATTCTCTTGGGAGAAGTACTGGGAATTGACACTTGTTATTGTGGGCTTTTTTTCTGTTGCATGCAGACATGTAATTTTCTCTCCAGGTCACTCAGCATGTTTGTTCTCCCCTCTTACTTGTTTGTTGCCCTCTTATTTTCAGCATTGGCTGAAAGTTTGCTCATAGCTGGATTTTTGTCAGACATACCTGACACAGAAAGAGTTCAAAGAAATATGCTTATTTTGGAGTCTAGATGGTCAAAAAAACCTCCAAACAAACAAAAAAAACCCCAAAACAAACAAAAAAACCCCAAACCACCAAACCCCAAGGAAAAAAAAAAGGTTTTGGAAATCTTAAATTAATATTGACTTGAGCTCCAAGCAGCAGAAAAACATCACAACTTGGAGACTGACAGATGCTTTACTATTCTGACAGCAATGGTCTTAGTAGATTGGAGTTTGAGAACTGCTGCATTTGCTGAATCAGTAAAACTGATTGCCTGGAAACCAAACTGCTAAATACTTGGAACACCTATGCAAAGATCTTGCCTTGCTATCTCCTGCTGTTCAGAAGAATTAGGGATGGATTACAGGGATGGATTACAGATAAAGTGAATCTGAACTTTCATAAAATGTGACTGGCTCTGTTGAAAGATGTGATTATTCAGACCTAGCTATTAAACTTGGGAGCTGAACCCACATTCTAACACTGTTATTCAGGCTCATCAATTGAACATCTTTGAGTAACTACAAGTGGGTGTAACTGGGACATGCAGCGAGGCACCACGATGTGTGTTTCGGTGCCTATCACTGAACTTCATGAACCCTCAGCACCATCATTTGTAGCAATGTGGCACCCAAAGCTTCTTTCAGTTGTGCAGTGAAAAATTATTGGTACTTAGGCTGCATAATCTTCTCCCTTGTTACGTCAGGAGCAAATGACAGTTTGAAGTGAGTGCTGCTGCTTCAGCGCAGCAACTGATACATCTGCTTACCTGATGCAGTTCTTAGGCAGTGATTAATGACAGCCCTTGAGTCAGAGCCTGTAACTGTGGTGAGCATTAATAGGTAAACCTACAAACAGCTCCTGAGGGAGGGAAAGGTACTGACTGGCATCTCAGTCTGACTGCCTATATCGGTCCCAATCAGATTGTTCAGAGGTCATCACATTTAAACTCAAGCATCTCAAAGGTCCAAATGTATGGCCCAGTCTGACCCTACAGGAACTGGTGGCTAACTTGTCTGATTTAATCAGACTAAGGCTGACAACCCATATTAGAACACCCATTTTCTTCTGTTGCAAAATCTAAAGTGCCAGCAGTATTGCTTCTGTGTAGAAACAAGGAGATGCAGAAATGCTTGCAATGTTAACAAAACTGGTGGAAACTCCCCATTTTTAACACAGGGTATACAAGTAAAAACACCCCAGATCATTATGCATTTAAGAACATATGCCTATCTTTAAGCAAGTGCTTGAGTATCACTGTCCTCCCCTGAACTTTAATGGGTCTTTGGGCCACTGTTCAAGGATAAATCTATATTTATGTTCCTTGTACACCTGAGATGGGCTTGCTCATGACTTTTTTTGCTTTGCTGGATCAGGGTTTATAGCCCTAAAAGTTAATTTCTATCCTAGTCTGTTTAAATATTTCAAACACATATACAAAAATAAACCTAATCTTCCGCCAATATTCCACCTCGCTGGTCTCATGACATTCAGGAAACAAACCACTGATCTTTCCAATGATCTGACTTACAAATCTAGTTTTAGAAGGCACTGGCTGCTAATCACTCCTGCAGCTGGAATACCTACATTACTGCATCTCTGTTGCATGTGACTAGCCTGGAAAATGAAGTTAAACTTGTACAATAGAAGTAATTTAATACATGATTTAGAACTTTAACCATCTTACTACAAATTAATTTACACGCCTACAAACCTTTACTTGTATGAGTAACGTTATGTGTTTTGATGAGGAAGGAATATTATGAGGCCTGGCCTGCTGACTGTAGAAATGATTGTATCATAGATCAGTGATAATATTTACATGAAATGTAGCAGTTGCATTAATTGTTCAGGGGAAAACAATTCTCATTTTTTTCTGTCCTTTTTTCCTTCATTATCACTGTTGAATCTCACATTTTTGAAGAAAGGGAGAGCAGAATCAAGCTTAGTATATCTCACTGTGTTATGACAATCTGAATATAATACATAGGCAATCAAATAATTGATCTCACTTAAACCTGATTATATACCAAATACAATCATAGCTGAGATTTAGATAGGTCACTTCTCATTTCAGCCATTTCAGTTTGACCCCTGACAAAACCTTAGGCACCTTTATGGCTGGTGGAAGAGACACTTAGTATTTTATGGAACTGTATTTTGTGAGATACGTTCATAGAAAAATTTAGGTTGGAAGGAACGCCTGGAGGTCTTATTCCAAGCTTCTGCTCAAAGCAGGTCTGGCTTCAAAGTCAGATCAGGTTGTTCCAAGTCTTGGCAAGTTTTGAAATCTCCAAGGGTAGAGACTGAACAGCCTCTTTGGGCCCGTCTGAGTGATGCCCTAGTCCCACTGAGATCATCTATTTCCATCTTTCCAATCAGTATTTCCCTTGTTGCAGCTTGTGACTGTTGCCTTTTGTTCTTTTGCTGTGCCC